GAGAGAGAGAGAGAGAGAGAGAGAGAGAGAGAGAGAGAGAGCGATGGAAAAAAAGAGGAGCAGAAAGTGCGGGAAAAATTACTGCACGAGCGCGTCTCGTTTACACTCGGTGACGCTTCGCTCCTTTTGTTGAGGCTCTTGTACAATCCGGCCTTTCAAGGCATCAAGTGTGAGAGGAGGTCGAGATTCGGTGGGTATGTGAGACATATGGCAAGCAGGTGGCGATGATGAAAAATAGAGGAATTAAATTTTTGAGAGGTGATAAGGAATTGATTCCTTAGGAGGTGTGGGAACATCGTGGAGGAATTGATGAGCGGTTGATATGAAGAATTTATTTGCAATTTGTAAGGTAGAAATGACTTTTTTTTGAAGGAATCAAAGGTCATGGGACGCAGTTGCCTCCCGTCGCCAAGAACGAGTACGCTACTGCTATATTATACCATGGACGAAAAAATTTAATAGAAAAACCTAGCGAGTTTGTTAGAAAATTCTGTTGGATTTCTATTAAACTTTCCGTTAGTTTTCGGCCAATTCTATTGAAATAATCAATTGAAAAAGTTAACAGAACTCAATTTTTCTATGTAACTTATTCTTTTCAGATATTTTCTATATAATTTCCGCGGTTCCAATTTTCCAAGTTTTTTTTTACATTCTATTTTACTTTTCCTCTCATCAAGAAAATCAAACAAAAAAACTTTGAAAACTTGAGCCGAAGAAATTCTATGGAAACTATCTCAATAGAATACGTTTTATAGAATAATCGAATTCTATTGACTTTTTCTATTGAACATTTCAATCGGCTAAAAACCAATTAGGTCATAGAATTCGCTAGGTTTTTCTATTCATCCGTGACGTGAGTCAACTTCCTCCTCATCCACCCAAATATCTTGACTTATTTTAAAATTTTATACACAATAGTTGACTGAGAAAATGATTTTTTCATGAATCAGGTGGTTGGATTTTTGTCGATTCATTTCTCTAATATAAGCCCTCTAAGTGAAGATTATAGTGGGAAAGTTGGTACCACTGCTACTGCCTTCGAATGAGTGGTAGTCTGTGTGTTAACTGACGTCACGCCGATATTCAAAAGTTATCGGTGGATTATATACGCGCCGTTTACCAATGCTTGAATACCCGTGACTGCAATACTATCCAAATGGAGTCAAGTGGAACTCTTGTTATGGTCTTTAATTCAGTAGCGAAGTGGTAAACCGGTTTAATTTCCCAGTTGAATTTTTGAGGATTATTTCCGAATCTAACGGAGATAGCGAAATTTTCATAATTACATTTGTTATAGCTCTCAATTGGCTCTATAAAAAAGGTTATAACAAAAATTTGGCCATCTTCCTTAGATTCCGAGATATTTATTGAAGACTAGTCAATAGTCAAAATTGACTTATAC